AAAGAAGGATGTCAAGATATTATTTATGTCATCTACTGTAAAATTACACATTTTTAAATAAAAGTCCAAAACAATAGATAAGGGCCTAAGTAAAAAACATCAAATTGAACAAAGGAGAATATTACTTCAATTGTAGATGAATTACAAATAATATACACACTAAAAGTTTGTTCTCTTCAATTTACTCTTATTACAAATTATTATTAGAATCAGTTCAGATTATTATTTGAAAAGCTGCTTCAAGTGTAGATGAATTACAAATAATATTTTATTTAAATAATCATTATTTTGAATTTTAATTTTTATAAATAAATATAAAAAAATTAACATACATTTGAAATACTATTTTTTATAATTCATTTTTTTATTTATTAAATATGAGGTATAGATTAAAGTAAGTTTTGTAAGTATTTTTGCATTTAATTTTTAATTTTTCAATTGTTTATCTTTCTTTATTTCAATGTACTTTTGATTTTTTAAAAAAAAATAAATGAGTCTTGGTGAAATAAATGAGAATAAATATTGATTGTTAGATCTAGTGTCTCGAATGGCTAAGATTTTAAAAGACTCCACAATTGACTTCCATCATGTATATAGAAAGAAGTAAGATGACTGCATTAAAATAGAGAGAAATGAATATCTATGGGTAATTTTGTAAAATCACGATTGATTAATAATTAATGTAGCAATTACTCCATATGTTAGTGCTTGCTGCGTCTATCGTTAAAACTCCCAAGGCTAGTAACTTACTTAATTTAGGGATGGGGTATTATCAAATTATTCCGTATTATGTAATTTTTTATGTGAAATTTGCACTGAATATGACTAAAACATAAGTCATTTCTCAATGTAGAACTTAAACTTTTTTATTCCTTAAATAAGACTTAATAATGACTAGTGAGAAGAATAATGTCCAAGTGATGCTAAACATTTAGTTGAATAATGACTAATAGATAATGATCAATGGTCCTACGTTGGAAAATAAAAACATATGGTCCTATATTGAGAAAGTCATTATGTTTTAGTCCTATTTAGGTAAATTACCCATTTTTTATTTATTTAATTGTTCTATTGAACTGCTTATTTTGTACATAATTTCCTTAACCAATATGTTTTTGAAAAATAATACGAGTGTGTAATTAGAAACATTTAATCCAAATCTACCCAATGAGACTAATATTGAACATAAAATTTTGATATTATCTTATTTTTACATATTAAAGTAAGAAAAGTAAAATTAATAAATACTTTTTCATCTCTATTATTTAATTAAATAAATTTATATTATCAAGAGTGGGGTTCTAGTGACACTGGAAAACGGTGCCACTAGCGGTGCCACTGGGTTTTTGGGGCACCTCCGGTGCTCCGTTCGTAAAATTGACAGTTCCTACCCCCCTAACCCACCCCCTAAACCCCCCACCTTACCCTCCCCCCTGCACCCCCACCCCAACCCCGCCGTAAGCCCCCCACAAAATGTGTGGCTATTATGCAATGCATCGGAGTGGCACCGTTCTCCAGTGTCACTAGAACCGGACCGTATTATCAATCTATCAATTTAATTATCTCAGGAATTGAAAATGCACTATAAATATATGATATCCATAATTACAAATATTATGTGAATGCACTACGGTGACCTATGTATGCAATGTGATTTGTCATTAAAAGTTTTTTTCAAATTTTATGTTATTTGTTTTTGGATTGGTAAATAATGACCTTAGAGTGAATTTATATCTATGAGAAAGCCTAAGAGTGCATTGCATTCATAAAAAGTGTAATATAAATTTCAAAATTAGTTTGCCTATGTGGGATTCGAACTCACAACCGTAATACATATTGCTCTACCATTTGAGCTAATAAGCACTAAAAAAATTTTAAAAAGACTAAAAAATTTGTAGCATTAAATGTGTTTCTTACCCACACTCAAATGTATTATAGAATCTTTTAAATGCATTATTGTTTACAAAAACTTCACTGTCTAGGATGCAAAGATGCATCATATTTTGTCAATTGAATTTCCATATTTGATTCACATTTTAAATGCATCACCGTTTGTAAAATTCAATAAGGTAGTGTTTGGCAATTAAAATTTCATTTCAATTCATGTATTTCAATTCCAAAATTTGGAATCTTGAATTTCAAATGACAAGGAGAGGGACATGGATTTAAAATTAAACTTTGTTTTGAATGAGAAAAATTTGATTCAAATCCAAATTCAAAATTTGTAAGTTTTTCAAACATGGAATTTAAGCCAAATCCGGATTTGAAATCCAAATTCATTTTCCCAAACATACCATTAGAGAAAAGTTTATCACAAAGAACTCTCTTTAAAGAATAAAAGGCACCTTTACCACGAGTAGCAACATCTCTACAATGGCATGCATCTAACCTACACTCAAATGTATCACAAAACATCCTAAATGCATAATGGTTTGTAAAAATTCACCATCGAAACCATCTAAAATATAAGATGCATCATATTCGTCTAAGAGACTGTTTGATAATTTCTGAATGGGTAAATGTTGAATCAGTAAGAGGTCTGAACCATTAAATGCTGAACCAGTAAGAGATCAAAATCATTAAGAGCTAGTATATTGCTAAACTATTCAGAGGCAAATGTCTGATCAATTTAGATAATTGTCTGTGCGACACCGACAATTATCGTCTGTGTTTGTCTGTGCGAAGCATGGGTGCACCCATGGTAGCACCCATGGTAGCACCCATGTGGTGACACCCTAGTATGGTCCCCGAAATATTTAGTACAAAGTACCCAAGTACCCAGCTCCGCCCATCCCCATCATTTAGGCATCGAGGAACCAGTGGCTAGAATTTTTTAAAGAAAGAAATATTGTTATGTAAATGCACTCCACTTATTTTTTTATGGCTAGGAATTGACAAAAACAGGCTTTAAAATTTTTCATACCTTTTTTTATTACGTGAAATTACCTTCAAAATAAAAGTAAGTTTCAATCATTAAAAAAAATAAGGTACATTTATTGAGAAATATATGCCATTTTTAAACTTAACATTATATTAAACCTGTCAAGTAGCAATTCAATAAGGGCCTTGTTTGGGAAAAGCATTTCTGAAAATGATAACGCTAAAGGCTACTGTCCGATTGACTTTTTAAAACGCTAACGGTAATCTATAACGCTGATACCAAACGGGGCCAAGGTTTTGGGCACAAATTAAGGCCTAATAGGACCGGTGACTCCTGTGGTTTAGAAAATTGGCACCAATACCCCTTCTGTTTTCAGAACTTATTTCTAAAGTCTTTGTGGTTTCAAAACGTTGCACCCACACCCCCTCTGATAATTTTCCGGCCATTTTCCAGCGAAGAGGGGCATTGGCGCATAATTTCTAAACCATACGAGTCACTCGTGCTCATTTCTTATTTTTCGATTATTATTTGTGTTTTTCCTTCTTTTTCCTTTTCCTAGATTTTTTTTAAAATTTCTTTTCAATTTTTATAATGTTTTAAAAAAATTTAAAATTCTTTGTGTTTGAACTAATAAAAAAAATTAACATACATTATATCTATCTCAAATTAAACATTTTCACTTTTTCTTACATAGAATAATTTTTTGGAAAGTTCAAAAAGAAAACTCAAAATAAAAATATGAAAAAACGAAATGAAAAAATTAAAATACGGAAAAAAGAGTCTTCTACAAAAAACAATTTTGGAACACGCCTAAAAATATCCTCAAAATTGAGATGTCCAAAAAGGATAATTTTTTTTATTTTTGTATTATTTTGTTTCTTATTTTATTCATCATTTTTTAGAAGTTCTAAAAAATTACCTTTTTCGGAAAAAACAAAAATTGTTAATTTCAGACGTGCCGATGCATTATATGTTAATTTTTTCAAACAAAAATAACTTTAAATTTTAAGAACATTATAAAAGTAATTGTAAAATAACCTTTATTAATAAATGAAACAAATAAAGGAAAAAAATGGGAAAAAAGAGAGAAATAGAAAATCAGCACTGGTACCCCTCATGGTTTTTAAAACAGGGGGTATTGCTGCGTATTTTGCAAACCACGGGGGTACTGACGCTATTTGGCCCACAAATTAAATATTATTTAAATTGATAAATATTAAATAAATTTGATATGCTAAAACTATATCTTTACATGGACTCAATTACATTGAATTTACTTCATAATTAAAAGTATAGTTTTTTCATAATTTGTAGTCAAAGAGTGTCACTGTTTAACTAAAAAACAATACGGAAAGAAGTTTATGGCACGGATGGAGCATATGAAAATCCTGATTTTTTCTAACTAAATCTAAAACTAAGTTTTAAAAACCTTTTTTTATGATTAAAAAATTCTGACCTAGTTTTCCTAATTTTTTGTTTTCTTTCTTTTAATTGTTTAGTTCTATTCCTTTTTTTCTATTTTTATACATGATTTTGTTAAGGAGTATCCCACATCGAAAAAGTAAGAAGAAAATTATAAGTATATAAACTATTGAGTTGAACTAAGTAACCGTTTGGATTAAATCTTTTAAGGTAGTTCAACTTAAGTCTCTTATGACTCAATCTATCTCATTCTAAATTCTTTCAGATTTTAATAAAAACAAAACTACATATTTAACTATAGTACAACACATAATTTTAAAATTTAAAATAATTAAAAGAAAAAACAATTGCTCGTGAAATATATGCTAAGATCATTTGAAGTAAATTTCACGTATGGTATGGTACCTGAACTTTCAACTATTTTTTATTTTGCTACCTAGACTTCATTTTTCTTTTACAATTTTATATATTTTAAAATTTTCAATTTTACCCATTTCTTTCTTCTTCTTCCTCCCCCTTCCACTCCCTTCCTTTTCTTCTTCTTTCATGTACGCCTTTTCTTTTCTTCCTTCTTTCACCACTTCTTTTCTTCTTCTTCCTTCTTTCACCCATTTTTTTGTTGGTGATTTTAGTGTCATCGGTTTTTTTTGTGTAATTAGATTTACTTCGGTCGGACAGGAATTTAAATAGACGTTGTCAAACGAGTTAGGAGGTGCGGAGTGCGCGCTCGTTCAACGATATTATAAATTCATTGCGGGGGTTCGGGGGCGGCACACCCCGGGTAGCGGGGTCCAAAGGGCGGCAGCCCCTGGCGGGTAAACGTCAAAATATACTCTAAAACCGCAGGATGCTCTTCAAACTCGCGTCTATCTTCTTCCCCACGCGAACGTACGCGTATGTTTACGCGAAGGATCATGTCCGATCATGGATTTTTCGATTCTATAAAATAGAATCTCGTGGTATGGATTGGGGTACAGATTTTCGATTGCTTGTTCTTGATTAACGTCTTATCCAATTGAAGTATTTCATATATCCTAAAATAATTTTGATCTGAAAGCGTTGCATACGCGATTCGTTATTCTATCAAGTTCTTCGTTTAAACACTGCTTCGCAGTGTTCTTCCTCCTAAAATTCCAACAAAGATCAAAGGATACAAGTAAGAGTGGTTCCGGTCAAGGAACCAAGGACCAAAACAAATCAGAAGGTCAGATTATTCCACTCATCAATGATTCGGTTAAGAATTATGTCTCAATTATATCTGATGCATTTTATGTGCAGGATGATGACATCTCTTGGTGGGTTGATTCGGGGGAAACATGTCACGCGTGCAAGGACAAAAGATGGTTTAGTTCGTTGGAATCAATGGACTATGGATCAGTGTTGTGCATGGGAAACATAGCCATCGAACCTGTCAAGGGAATTGGAATAGTAAAACTTGTATTCACTTCCGGCAATAGTGTACTCTTAGATAATGTATTATATGTACCAAGTCTTCGTAAAAATCTTATATCAGGGATTGTATTAAATAACCATGGATATAAACAAGTATTGGAAAGTAATAAATATATTTATCTAGACATGGTGCCTTTGTAGGTTTTGGTTATTTATGCAATGGCATGTTTAAATTAAGTTTGGATGTTCCTTTTGGCATGAATGATGTTTGTATGACGACTACATGTGATGCCTTAAACAAATCTGTTTTATGGCATGCTCGTTTAGGTCATGTGCATTATAAAAGATTACAAGATATGTCCAAAAGTAACTTAATTCCTGCCTTTGACATAAACCAAGACAAATGTAAGACATGTATGTTAACCAAGATAACTAGAAAACCGTTTAAAGAAATCAAAAGGGATTCTAGTATACTTGAACTCGTTCATAGTTACTTGTGCGATTTTCATGCAACTCCATCTATAGGAAATAAAAAGTACATGATCACTTTTATAGATGATGCCTCTAGGTTTTGTTATGTATATCTTTTACATGCTAAGGATCAAGCATTGGAAACTTTTAAAGTGTACAAAACCGAGGTAGAATTGCATAAAAATAACTTGGTTAAAACTCTTCGGGCAGATAGGGGAGGAGAATATTTTGATCCAGTTTATTTTCAATCTGTTGGTATAATTCATGAGACCACTGCTCCCTATACACCACAACAAAATGGTGTAGCCGAGCGAAAGAATAGGGCCTTAAAAGAAATGGTAAACTCTATGTTGTCTTACTCGGGTTTGAGTGAAGGATTTTGGGGAGAGGCTATGTTAACAGCCTGCTATTTGTTAAATAGAGTTCCTAACAAAAGGAGCAAAATTACCCCTTATGAAATTTGGTATGGGAAGCCACCAAACTTGAATTATGTAAAAGTTTGGGGTTGTAAGGCGGTTGTAAGACTCCTAGAACCTAAGAGGAGAACCTTGGGAGAAAAAGGCATTGATTGCATTTTTATTGGATATGCTCAGCATTCTAAGGCTTATAGATTCGATGAAAATAGGTTTTCATCAATACCTAGACCAAGAGATATGGTTCTAAGTGATTTATCTATACCAAACCAAGAGGACTCTAGTAGAGACATAGTTTCTACTAATGAGTCCTTCGTTCCTACGGAAATTAGGAGAAGCAAAAGACGTAGAGTTGCCAAATCCTTTGGCTCAGATTTTCAATTATATTTTATTGAAGGTTCTAGGGATGAAATTTTATTTCAATATAAATATTGTTATAATATTGAAGCCGATCCTAGAACATATAATGAAGCTATGGCTTCAAGGGACGTGGCATTTTGGAAAGAGGCTATTCAAGATGAGATGTACTCTATCTTGCATAACAACACTTGGAAATTAACTAACTTACCTCCTGGATGCAAAGCTTTAGGATGTAAGTGGATCTTCAAGAAGAAGATGAAAGTAGACGGTTCGATCGATAAGTTTAAGGCAAGGTTAGTGATACAAGGCTTTAGACAAAAAGAGGGAATTGACTACTTTGATACCTATGCCCCTGTTGCAAGAATTTCAACCATTAGGTTGTTGATTGCTCTAGCGGCTATACACAATCTTGTGATTCACCAAATGGATGTAAAAACAGCTTTCTTAAATGGTGAACTAGAAGAGGAAATCTACATGAAACAACCCGAAGGGTTTGTTATGCCAGGAAATGAGCATAAAGTGTGTAAGCTAGAGAAGTCACTATATGGTTTAAAACAAGCACCGAAACAATGGCATCAAAAGTTTGATGATGTTGTGTTGTCGAATGGCTTTCTTTTAAACCAAGCAGACAAGTGTGTTTATAGCAAATTTGATACTTCAAGTAAAGGAGTTATAATTTGTCTATATGTTGATGACATGTTGATTTTTGGAACCGATCAAAATCAAGTCAATAAAACAAAAGAATTCTTGTCATCACATTTTTCCATGAAGGATCTAGGGGAGGCAGAAGTAATTCTAGGCATTAGGATAAAACGGGTGAACAATGGGATATGCATTACACAGTCTCATTATATTGAGAAAATTTTGAAGAAATTCAATTTTGAAAATTGTTCTCCGGTTAACACCCCTATGGATCCAAGCATTGAACTTTTGGCCAATCAAGGAAAGGCTGTGTCTCAACTTGAATACTCAAGGGCTATTGGTTGCTTAATGTATTCCATGGTTAGCACAAGACCGGATATAGCATATGTCGTTGCAAAGCTTAGTAGGTTTACTAGCAATCCTGGTACACACCATTGGCAAGCTATATGGAGAGTATTCAAGTACTTAAAGAAAACTATGAATTATAGTTTGGTGTACAGTGGAGAACCACCAATTCTTGAAGGATACTCGGATGCAAGTTGGATCACTAATATGGAAGATTTCTCCTCTACTAGTGGATGGGTTTACTTACTAGGCGGAGGAGCAATATCATGGGAATCAAAGAAACAAACTTGCATCACTACATCGACAATGGAATCTGAATTTGTTGCTTTAGCATCGGCCAGTAAAGAGGCTGAGTGGTTAAGAAATTTGGTATATGAGATTCCATTGTGGCCTAAACCGATATCACCAATATCTATAAGATGTGACAGCGCTGCGACTTTGGCTAAGGCATATAGCCAAGTCTATAATGGTAAGTCTAGACACATGGGTGTTAGACATATCATGATCCGTGATTTGATCAAAAATGGTGTGATATCAATTGAGTTTGTTCGAACTCAACACAATTTAGCCGATAATTTAACTAAAGGGTTAAGAAGAGATCTCGTGCAAAAATCGGCTAAAGGGATGTGATTAAAGTCCATTTGATATCTCTCATGTTAAGATACCCAATTCCCACCTAATATGACGTTAGGTGTAGAATTCAATGTGGAAAGCTTAACATCAAGAGATTGGAACACAACATTAGCATCATCCAAAGGTATGTGTTCAAAACTACAAGTTAAAGAGGTTGAAGTTAATCTTCTTAATAGTTCTTTTGAAAAATTGTATGTGCAGGTACAAGACATAAAAGAACTACCTATACGAGTATGAAGTTTAGTCGCTTCACAAAGTTTGGACTTGACTTTTATATGCTCGTTGAAGGATAGGGACACAAGGCTAGTAAAATACGGTGTCAAGCTTGGAACAAAGAAGCACCTAGAGCTTATGTGTATATTATCTTCATGTATTCATATGAATTGCAAGGGTTCAATCCTTAGAGACACCCCGAAATTCGAATATTTGGAATGTGTAATATACTAAGATGAAAATTCAATCGTCGCGACATTTTCATTTATGCATAAGTTTGTTGAATCTATTATCTCAAAAAGTAAGTCATGGATTACACTAAAATAGGGGGGATTGTTGGTGATTTTAGTGTCATCGGTTTATTTTTGTGTAATTGGATTTACATTGGTCGGACAGGAATTTAAATAGACGTTGTCAAACGAGTTAGGAGGCGCGGAGTGTGCGCTTGTTCAACGATATTATAAATTCATTGCGGGGGTCTGGGGGCGGCAGCCCCGGGATAGTGGGGGTCCAGGGGCGGCAGCCCCGGGATAGCGGGGGTCCGGGGACGGCAGCCCCTGGCGGGGTCCAAGGGCAGAGCCCCTAGCCGGAGTCCAAATCATTATGAAAATCCTTAAGATTTTCGTGATCGGAGTCCAAATCATTAAAGGACTCGAACTAGCGGATAAACGTCAAAATATACTCTAAAACCGCAGGAGGCTCTTCAAACTTGTGCCTATCTTCTTCCCCACGTGAACGTACGCATATGTTTACGCGAAGGATCATGTCCGATCATGGATTTTTTGATTCTATAAAATAGAATCTCGTGGTATGGATTGGGGTACAAATTTTCGATTGCTTGTTCTTGATTAACGTCTTATCCGATTGAAGTATTTCGTATACTCCGAAATAACTTTGATTTGAAAGCGTTTCGTACGCGATTCGTTACTCTATCAAGTTCTTCGTTTAAACACTGCTTCGCAGTGTTCTTCCTTCTAAAATTCCAACATTTTTTACTTCTTCTTCTTTAAATTCTTCACTCACAAGTCAGAACAACCCACCCCTCCCTTCTTCTTTAACCCCACCCCTCCCTTCTTCTTTAACCCCACCCCTCCCTTCTTCTTTAACCCCACCCCCTTCTTGAGTCCCCTCTTTTTTTTTGAAAAAAAATTAACTTCCTCTTTAAGTGTTTTTTGGTTTTTGAATTTTTTGTTGAAAAACTTTCAATTTTTTTTCCAATTTTTTTCTAATATATATCTTTTTAGTTCTTTTTGTTTTCGGTCTTTTTTTATTTGTTGTTAGAATATAAGAAACATTTCATGGGCCACAACCACAAGCTTGAGCTTTTGGTTGAGTTGGTTCATTGACATGGTACGAAGCCTTGTTGACTAAGAGGTCACATGTTCAAAACTCAGCGTCAACCAGTTTAAAAAAATTAGGTTTCACGTGCAAGACTCGAAAAAAACTACACCTGCACGTGAGGGGCGTGTTAGAAACATTTCCTGGACCACAAATTTGAGCTTTTGGTTGAGTTGGTTTCTTGACATTTGTAAATTTGTTTTTTTTTCTATTTTTCTCGATATTTTAATATTAGTTGTTTGTTTGTTTGTTTGTGATTTTTTTACAATTTTTTTGATGTTTTGACTTTTTGAAATTGCCTTTTGAAATAGTACTCCGTACCTATGCCAATTCTAAGTTTCACGAAATGACATACTCCCTCCGTCTCATAAAACATGAGATGTTTTGCTTTTTCAAGAGACTTAAGGGAGTGTATTTTGGTACTAAATTTCCAAAAATATCTTTTGATGTGATGGGTAAAAGTAGGATTTGATGGGTAGATTATTAGTAAAAAGGTATGATGTGATAGGTAGGGTATGAAAAAGTAAGGGGTAAAAGTGATTTTTTAATAGAAATGAGAAGTGTTTTATGGGACAGATGAAAAAAGAAAGGAGAAAGGTTTTATGGGACGGAGGGAGTATATTCATCAATGAGTGTACGTACCTTTTAAATTTTTTAGAGGATTAAAACTTGTTTTTATTTTGTAAAAAAATTTGATATTAAAATGATATAAAGATCTAAAGGGTCCGTTTGGTATAAAGAATTGGTGGAATTGAATTGGAATTGAAATTCCATGAGATTCAATTCCATAGAATTGAATTCTGTCAATTTCAATTCATTTTTTGCACTATCAATTCCAAATCCACATAATTTTTGTGCTACCAAACACCAAATTTGGAATTGAAATCCTCAATTCCAATTCCATAGTTTGAATTCAATGTACCAAACAGGACCTAAAGGGAAATTTTGTAAATTTCTAGCCATAAAAGATACATGTGGATCGGAGGGTAATAAACATTTATATTTTTGGAGTGCATTTAGCAATTCCGGTTTTTGGTGCTTAAAGCATGTGCAATGGCAAGGAAGAAGGATGTCTTGCTGTGCCACATGAGCTTCTTTCACTCATATCATGGCATGCCAAAGCTAAAATTAAAATGCCTTTTTAGGGAGACATGAGTGTGGAACTTCATACTACTTTTTAAAAAAAAATTATGAAAAAAATGTACAAGAAAGTAGAATAATTTTTTAATAAAATAAATAATAAAAATATTTTTTTATGTTTAAAAAACATAAAAAAATTTAAAAATGTCACACGCTGACTGGACTATTTTTGATTGGTTAAAATGTCCCATGTCACCGTGTAGCATTCCATTTTCGTCTTGTCATTGTTGATGCTCTTATATAATGCCATTTATTTTGTACTCCGGTCTTTGTTTTCTTGAATATATACTTTGTTTTTTGTGAAATTTACACTCAAAAGTATTAAAAATATGTCTTTTACAAATGTAGTATTTAATTTTTTTATTTCATAAATAACATTTGAATAGTGTCTAGTGACGAGAATAATATTTAGTGGTGCTAGACATTTATTTGAATACCTAGGATCACCCATGTGCATTGCATGAGTCATATTTACGTTACTGAATTATGATTATTTTTCAATGGCATGGATTTAAAAACACACTCGAAAGAAACTAATTATGAAAATTTTTGCAAATGATCATATTTATACTATAAGGCCTCGTTTGGTACACGGAATTTAAACTATGGAATTAGAATTGAGAACTTTAATTCCAATTCTCGTGTTTGGTATTACAAAATTTATGTGGATTTGGAATTGGTAAAGCAAAAAATGAATTGAAATTGGTGAATTCAATTCTATGGAATTGAATACCATGGAATTTTATTTCCAATTCAATTCCAAATCAATTTCAATTCCATCAATTCTATGTACCAAACGGACCCTAAAAGTTTTTTGCTTATTTTATTTTCTTTTTTGAGATTTTTTATTTTTAAAACTACAGTGTAATATTTTTCAAATTACACGGTTGGTGCTACTTATTAATTCAACATTCCTTTTTTAATTTAATTTTTAATTATTAACGTGTATTCATGATTCTTTCTTACCAAACTGTGTATAGGAAAAAATACTTTATTTAAAATGTACATCTATAAAATATAAATGAAAACACTAATGTAATTTTAATTTCGATACTTTAAGGTGTGAGAAATTTTTTTTGTTCCAGATAACATTTTCAATTTTTTAAAGACGGTAATTTATACACGGTAATTGCAAAAAAAGGAACATACCTGTTTAATATTATTATTACATTTCTTATAATGAATTTGCCGTATTTAAAATACGTATAAAGTAAAAACAAAAACACAATTATTTTTTTATCAATTTTTGGTGTTTCTTACCATTTCAACATTATATTTTTAACTCAAATTTTTAATTATCAATATGTGTTTATGATTCTTTCTTACCAAAATCATATATTAGAAAATCACTTTATTTGAAATAACTAAAAAGTATAAATGAAAACACAACTTTGATTTTAATTTCGTTACTTTAATGTATGGGAATATTTTTTTCAAGGCAACGCGCTTTCATGTATTTTGAAAGACGGTAAATTTTTTTATACACGGTAATCATGTAAAAAGAACATACCTTTTTCAGATTATTATTATTATGTTGCTTATAATGAAATTATCTTATTTAAAATACGTATAAAGTAAAAAAAGAAACACAATTATTTTTTATATATGTTTTTCACACTATCATTTCAATTTCCAAACTTTTAAATTTCATTTGTAATATATATATATATATATATATATATATATATATATATATATATATATATATATAATGTTGGACCAAAAAAGTATTTGGTATGAGAATACTTTTATTCACATGATACCATAATAAGTACTTAATATTTATACTTTTATAAAAGAGTATTTAAAAATTATACCTTTTATCCTCCGTGTTAATTATATTTTTTATAACACGGTATTGAAAATTTTAAGTTATGAAATTACCTTATTAATAAAAAATATATTACACAGTAATTAATTACCATAATTACCTTTTACTCGGTACTTTCTTCTTGTTTTCTTTGAAAAATAGATGAAATGTTTATGTTTTACACAATCTTTATGTTCACTATTAGTAGAGTAAATAAAAGAGATTTGTGTCTCTAAACTTTTAGGGGGCGTTTGGTTCGTGCAAAGGAAAGGGAAAGGAAACTGGAAAGGGAATCATGGGAGAGGAAATGATTACCCTTGAATTACCCCGTTTGTTTGGTTCAAGACAAGAAAGGGAATCGGAACGGGATGGGGGAGGAATCGGAGCTGGATGAGGGGGGAGGAAACGGAGCTAGAGGGGGGAGGAACGTACCTGGGTTGCGGTACGGATGAAGTCGCGGTGTGGCGGCAAAACATGGTGTGGCGGTGAGACGCGGTAAGGTGGCGACGAGACGCGATGGAAGAAATGGACGGGGAAGACGGGTTAGGGAAGGGGAAGGGGGGAATGGAAATAGGAAACCATGATAGGGAGTGGGGAATGGAAAGATGGGAAACGGAGTAATCCAACACCGAAAAATGGAGAAACGGAATGAACTTTTTTTAAACAAATGACAACAAACGGAATCTGGAATCCCATTCTGTTTCACGTTTCCCTTAACCAAACACCCCCTTATTCCTAACAAATGTTATCCTAGCGACTTCTCAATACCGCGTAATACATACCCTACAATTGGAGTACTCATTTACGAATATCTGAATATTCATTTTCGAGTAAACAATTAAATGTTCATTTTCGAGTAACTGTATACTTATTTTTTTAAAATTCAGTTATGCTTGAAAATGAGTATTTAATTACTTATACTATACACTCGGATGTATGGTATAGATACTCGTCACACCGTCGAGAGACCAAAAACCCCATCATATCGCTCACCCCATGATTTTTTTGGTTCCGACATGTTGAGATGCAAACTCTATCCCAATCGAAAGTAAAGAACAAGAATGACCTGAATAAATATGGTTACCCAAACCTCATTAGTTATAGTCATTTTGGGAGGTGTACAAAAATAAATTTGTGATGGCTCTACTCAAAGCGGAAAATATCATACTAATGCTGGGTTGCGGTGAGAGTATGCACGGTCTCAACACGACACTATGTGTAAGAAAGTTAATTTGATTTTTTCCTTTTTGAAAAGAAATTTATTTAACATGTGATGGGTGTATTTCACCCATGACCGGTCAGAGGTCAGAGCCAGATAGTTGACCGGTCAAAGAGGTCAAACTTGAGAGAAAGATCCATATCGGCGGCAAAGAGACAACGGGTCGACCGCAAAGTTGACCAGTATACTTCGGATAGTATACCGGTCAAATTACTCAAGTTTGTGGAACCAATTTCCGAAGTCCATTAATCAACCCACGATGACCAGCCGGGGTAGTGTTTTAAGGTCAACGAGTGTCGGCAGGAAGGATCCAAAATGACTTGGACTGTAGTGGTTGGCATTGCTGAGATGCTGGAGGAATGTTTCCAAGCCAGAACGTGACAAGGAGGGTAATCCCCCTCGCAAGATGACAAGGTGGCTCAGGGACAGTCATAGCACCACATCAGCAGCATGCCCCCACGTGGGTGCACGTGATCCTGTTCCCCCCAGCTTAGTATATATACCTCATGTAACCCTCGAGGAAGGGGATCTGAATTCATTCTCTCTAAACTCCCTTGTAAAAGCACCCGTGCATTCTCCGTTATAATACAAACTGGGCTACAGGTGTTCCACCTAAAGTCCTACCGGTCAATCTGCGAGTTTTTACCTCTCTTACTTTGCCAAATCAAGCAAACTATTCTAGACCCGGTCTAGTATAGTTTGACCGGTCAAATAATTTACACCATCATTTTGGCGCCGACCGTGGGACTTGAGCAAAAGGCCGTGATTTTTTAGTGCTTTCATCTTGTTCGTTGAAAAATATTTGAGGAAAGTAGATGGTGGCTAAAAAAAGAGGGAGGGAGAGAAAAGGAACAAAAAAAAGAAAAGAAAAGAGAGAGATTGAAAGAGCCGGCTGGGAAGTAAGGACGGAGTGTTTCACTCCCAATTGCCGCCGTTCCTCAAATTGGTGGCCACAAGCTGGAAATCCACCATCTCTGCCGCTAAGAGCTACGCTTGTTGCAGCTGGTCTTGAGGTCTGTCACCACACTCAAGCCGTCTGCGAAGAAAGGAGTGGCCAGGCCGTCGTCCACATCTAGCGCTAGGAGATGAAATCGTCATCGACGTTGATTGACTGTAGATCTTCGCCGTCAAAGAAGTTAACCATTGCCCCCTGGCAAATGAATTTGCCACCGGGAGTGGATTTGATGTCGCAGTCATTAACGTTGCTGATGCCGCCGCTGCTGCTCAAAACAGCCGCTGCCACCGCTCAGACCTGCGGCCGCCGAATTCAATTGACAGGATTGCCGCCGCCGTCGAACTCAATCATCGTTGGTCGTTGGAGCCATTCACCGCCGTCCATGCCTAGCGTCGGAGGGCTGCATGATGCTGACTAGTTGTTGTATCCGTAGCCGCTGGAGTCTATTGATAACAATCTTTGGGTTCGCCATTACTAACAACGGAGTTGGATTCGTCATCAGCTTTGGTTGAAGCTAAAGCCAGAGTTAACCGCCCATCTATTTTTTGCCGGAGGACTATGCCCAAGTTCATCACCACCACACCCTCTAAAGCCGGCAATTACCTCTGTCCCAGTGGTCTTTTTCATAAGCTCATGCGGGTTCATCTTCACCCCCCTTCGGGGTCTACGGGCGTCGTAACCCTGAAACGTGACTTCTGTCACTGACGCCACTATTGAGATCTATCACCATCCCTGCCACTGCCGAACTGCACCACCGTTACCTGGAGGCTCTATTTTAGTTCCACCGTTGCCATTCCAGGTGAATTCTCTTGCGACCTAAGCTGAGTATAATTATATTTGCCGCGACAAACAAAGTAAGAGTGATGGCCGAAATGATGAGTGTTGCCTCCGGTGGGCGTCGCCTCGCCAGCTCCTCCACGAGTGAGCTTCCTTATTCGGCCAGGACGGATCCAAACAAATACAAATAGTCCTTATGAAATAATGGGATGATATTCTGGCAATAAAAAACACAACACATGGGGTCTGCAGTCCTCAATTATCTTCATGGCATCATACACCCAATTATTCATTATTATGAGGGGCCCATTCAAAATTCAAAGAGATGCAAAAAATCATGGTTCCACTTCCACATGCTATGAACCTTGAAAAGAAAAAAGAATCATGCGCCAATAAGGAAGACGACAAGTACGCAGGGGAGAAAGGAAGGCACATGGGGAGAGATGCAAGACTGATCCACAAAGAAAAGAGACCCACCATGATTAAAAGGCTATTCATTTATTCTTATCACAAGGGAGGGAGATTGAACAGTCAAACTAAATGGGTCCACCAACTCTTATAATTGAGCATCACTGATGTAAGAGTGATATGGAATACTAAGCACCCATTGAAGAGGCATATGGAGAGCTTATAATGTGGAGACAGTGGGCTATGGATTTTCATTTAAAAATGTGTCCGAAAATTGGCCAATTGAACTGGTCACCGCGACTGCATTAGAGTTTCACAGGAAGACTGAGACACAGGCCCGGACCTGGCACGCTGGTTACTACACCGGTCTTGCTCAGTATAAAATAAAAAAATAATAAACCCGGAAGAGGGGCCCGGAAGAGGGTATGCCTGCAAGAGAGCTGGACCTGGAAGAAGGTTCGAACCGTACTTACACGGGCCCATGAGGTTTGACCGGTATCGGGGAATCAGCCGAGACTGGCAAACTGATTGGGGACTAAAAGATGCCCATTAAAAAAATAGAAGGGGATCGTCCACCGTGGCGCATCCCATTTCCCCCTTCTCAGGGAAGACTTGAACGGGGGGTGAGCTAAGGCCTTCTCGGGATAGTAAATATCAAAGGGCCATTAAAAGACTTAATCACCCGGAAGAGGGGGCCCTGGAAGAAGGGTGCATTTTGGGCCTTGGAGAGGGCTCGAAACCATCCGACATGGTTAATTCTCCAATGTTGATCTGGCCCGGCCAGCAGCATTATCTTATTGGAAGACTGAGACACAGGCCTGGCCTGGCACGCTGGTTACTACACCGATCTTGCTCAGTATAATAAAGAAAATATGTGGCCCAGTCGAACTAGTACACTGGTCTCACACCAGTCTTACACATATTTTCCAATAAGCCTGAGCCCAATCGAATTGGGTACACCGATTGCACATCGGTTTCAGCAAAAGAGTGAGCAAAGCTCATATCGGGGACGCCCGATTCATTTAAGCCCTCAATCTGAGGCACTTTGATCGAAGATGGTCTCCGCGAGACATGAAGATATTTACATCAGTCAGCCGGGCTAACACTGATCTTCAACAAAGCTACCGCGTCGGATTCAATTCTTATTACCTAAGGTCGTTGTCATTGGTATACTAATTTCGTCACGCATCGTTGCTTGACTCGTATTAACACCGACCTCGACGAAATAACTTTTCGAGGCATCGTTGCTTTATCAAACTGACATCGCTCTCGTTACGATAATTATTCGCGCGAATCTTAATCATCTAACACTGAGCTCCTCGGTAAAAATAATAATTTTTTGAGCATGGCATAGGCCGGTCAAAAAAAAATGTTGTACAAATTATTTTTTGTAGGAAAAAACTTCTGATTCAAGAAATTAGAGAATTAATGAAGACTCGGAGGACTAGCAATAATATCTACCGGTCAAGAATTCAAAGTACGAAAACTGAAGATCACACTCGGAGGACTTGTTTACTTTTTTAAGTTGATAATTCTCACAACTCAAAAAAGTGGAGGACTTCTTGATGGGAAATAATACGTGGCTCGGCCCACATTTCCCAATTATTTACGAAGAACAGTTAAACCGGGCCTGTTTAATAAAATAGAGGAATAAGAGAATATTCCTCCGTAGATGCTCTCACCCTCTCCTATAAAAGGGAGGGTTGCCCTAATGGTTGAGGAGGCCAATTTCACTCCTCTCCTGCTACTTTCTCTCTCTAGGTATTTTTAGAGTATATTTTTCCTTCTTCAAGAGCTTCTAGCTCCACCATTAATGGCTTCCGAGCCGAACTCTTGTACCGTGTACACACCCCCGATATTAATAAAAATCCCCCGTTGGCAAGGTACTGCCAAAAAAGGCCCGTGGTTTTCTCCCAATTTGGGTTTCCACGTCAAAATCTCCGTGTTTATATTTTGGTGTATTTTTAGACTAGTTTATCGTTTTAGCCGGGCTAAAAACGGTATACTGGTCGATAATTTACACCATCAACATTTTTGCCAATATTATTCGGTTTATTTTTAATGATATCAAATTTCTAAAATGAGCCAAAAATGTTTTTTTAGAATAACTAAGATCGACTTGATTTTCTCTTTCTACTTATAACTTTTGATTTTTTCAAAAACCTACTACAACCCCAAAACTCTCTTAATTGAAATATGATACCCAGCATCACTCTCAAAAAATTTATTTATGGAGAGGTTATATTGACACTAGAAATCGATGTCATATTATCACATTAGACTCTTACGGTAGTTCGTTTGAAAATTTAAGGATCCGTTTGATACATCAAATTAGGGGAATTATAATTGAATTGAAGTTGAAATTCTATAAAATTTATTTGAAATTCTATTTTATTTTTGGCACTGCCAATTCCAAATCTCATTTTTTGTGTGCTACCAAAGAACAGAATTAGAATTGTAGTTCTCAACTGTATTTCAATTCTATAGTTTGAATTTTGTGTATCCAAACAGAGCCTACTAGTTCTTATCCTCTAATTCTCGATCAGTAAATCCTTAACCTGATCTGACCTTAAATTAGTGCACCTCGATACTCCTCCCTGCCTCCCATAATTATAATAACGGCCCGGTTTTAGTGACACCGAAGAACGGTGCCACTAGCAGTGCCACTGCCTTTTTGGGGCACCTCCAGTGCTCCGTTCGTAAAATTGACGGTTCATACTCTCTAACCCACCCCCTAAACCTCCCATCCTACCTTCACCCATGCACCCCACCCCAACCCCGTCGTAAGCCCCTCTAATCAAAGTCGATTTCCAAGAATTTTCATGCAAAAAAAAAAGTAAAGTGGTTGGAATTTTGTAACCTTTCCCACCAAAATAGCTAACGTGTGGCCTACATTCATAGCAAAACGTGCATTCTATACGATGCCAACTTGTAGCGAACATTGATGGCAAAACGGTGCACTTGTTGCGCCTTGTCCTATTCTCATTCCCACATAACATTAAAAAAAACACCACAAGTAACAATCATTTTTAAATTTATGTGCAAGATGATAATCAACTGTGGTAAGTTTGTGACATGACTCCAAATTACATATGCTCTATTGCTCTAGTATGAAACTGGTCTCGTTTGAACTTGTCCTCGCTCATGGGTACGTAGTACAAGCTTTAAATGGTTGTTTCATAAAACAGATGGAATGTGACTCTATGTGAAAGTTCTATTTGAACTCCTGATTAAGACAGCTATGCCATAATCGTATAAACATTAACATTAAGTTTGACATCATTTTTTCAGATATACATAAACAAGCATTGTTAGTATACGTTTATGGATACATGATGTCGAATTTTAGTGTCAAAGTTAATGTGACTAAATTTATCCTTATGGCATGGACATAGATCATTTAACTTATACTCCCTCCGTCCCACAAAAAAATTCTCATTTTGAATAATATTTAGTCAAATATCTACACGTTTTCGCTACAAATTGTGAGAAAGGTATATTGAATTATAAAATAAATTTAATATAATTAGATTCATCTTAGGATCTAGTTTTGATATCTCCAATTTTTTTTAACATTTCTTTATTTAGATTATATATAAATTATGGTCAAAGCGTGTAACTATTTGACCAAAAATACATCAAAATGAGAACTTTTTTGTTGGACGGAGGGAGTACAAGTAATCTATTTGTTCTGAAAATTTCTTTTTCTTTTTATTTTTATCCATAAAAAAAGCTATACTTTATGTAAGAAGAAAGTAAAATGCTTTTGAGATAGATAAAGAAAAAAGTGAAACTTTTTACAAGACAGAGATTACTATGATAAAAGTTAAAACTAAAACACAGAACATGTGCATTCCGTGTCCTAAAAAAAATCACACTCTTAAAAATGTATATTTTTTTCTATATCAATATTTAAATAAAATAATTTGAAATTTTTTTTAATTTATATTTGAAGATTGTCTGTAATTATTTCACGATAAATGCCCACAATTTTTTAAAATAAATATTTGACATAATAATTATTGATAGAATAAGAAATACGGAGTATGATTTACAGTAGTTCATTTCTTCTAATTACTCCGTAAAAAAAAGGCTTTGCCCGACCCGAATCAAATAGGCGGGGAAAATCGGTTGCTATTATTTCGCCTGTACATACCAGATTAGCTAGCATACCAAACAAGACGACATTCCATGACCACTTGACCAGGAGGAGCTCGTCAACTTCTCAGGACATGGCGAACCCGACAAACAATCCGAATCCGACGGACGGGTCGGGCAAGAGAGTCCGGAAACCCTACACCATAACCAAGTCCAGAGAGAGCTGGAGTGATGAAGAACACGACAAGTTCCTTGAAGCTCTTCATCTGTTAAGCCCCTCCTTTACTCTCTCCCTCCCAAACTTTCTCTATCTTTCCGTGGCGTGTTGAGTCCCCCTTTGTGTTTGAATTGTTCGTTCCTGTAGAAATTATGAGCTTAGATGCGTGTTTAATGGAGGAATTTGCCGTTTTTGTAAAAGTTTGCAGGTTTTTTTGTTGATCAATTAGCAATTATTGAGTTTAGATGTGAATTTGAGTTAAGAAGATTGGATTTGGAGGATGTTTGTGTTACGTATCTCTAACACTATGTTTGGTTCAAGGAATTTGAAATGGAAAAGAAAAGAAAATGAGATAGAAAACTTTGGATAGAGAGAAAAAGAAAAGTGGAAGGAAAAGGAAATGAGAAGACAAAATATACTAAGAAGAGGGAAAATTAAATTCCTCCCATTTTGGTGAGGAAAATGAAAGAAAACCATTTTCTTTTCTTTTCCTTCCAAATTCCTTGAACGAAACATAGTGTAAATGTTCAATGTTGATGTGGTTTCTTGATAATTTTCCGGTAAAGAGGGATTCTCATTTTGGTATAGGAACTGTATTCTGATGCTTTATTATATGGAGTGTTAAACTTCTTTTTTTTCTTAAATTCTATCGGGGGGTTTCAGGTTTGATCGTGACTGGAAGAAAATTGAAGATTTTGTGGGTTCAAAGACAGTGATTCAGGTACCATTTCATCTTTAATAGGCAGTTAGAGATTACTTCTTTTTCTTCTTTTCTTGTGTTCTTGCTTCAATAAATTTTGTGCAAATTTTGATTGCTTTCGAAATGTATTACGGATTACATGTCTGGCTTTCCTTTCCACAAAGCATCTATCAAATGATAAAATGGATATTGACGATTTTTGCAGTTCGTGTGTGTATCCACTAATACACATACATGCCTGCGTGTGTGTGCTTTGCTATTTTTTAAAAAATTAACCTGCAGATTCGGAGTCATGCCCAAAAGTATTTCTTGAAGGTCCAAAAAAACGGTACAACAGCACATGTGCCCCCACCTCGGCCCAAGCGCAAAGCATCTCATCCTTATCCCCAAAAAGCTTCAAAAAATGGTTCGTCTTTAATTTGTTCACTATTGTAGTGATTTTATGCATGCCTATCTTTTGAATGATTACATACTTTCCTTCTCTTTGTTTAAAACTATGGGCAGTTTTAGTGCCACTGCAGGGGCCTGTGGCTAATCCTCCTTTAGTGATTCCTCTCGCACCTGTGTATGACACTTCCCTGCTTGTAAACACTTCAACCAGTGGAATCATGTCACGAGAAGATGAATTTTACAGTCCTGTTGATGAAGGTATTCTCAGGAATTTGGATACCTTTTTTTCTGAACTCACATACGTACACTTTTTTCTTCATATGAAAGGATTTTCCTGCACATTGTGGTGAATAACATTCATGATTCAGCAGATACTGGAGCAAAGGGAGCAGAAGTAGTCAGCAACATCAATGTTGATGGAGTTGTGAGTTCTAGTAGAGTAGTGCCAAAACAGAGCGAGCTAGGTTCACGACTACATGGTAAATTCTTTGCTACTCTGTATGAATATTTTTTAGTACTCCCTCTGTTCCAAAAAGATATTTATAGCTACTATTCTCTGGATCAGACCATATCTTCTTTCTTAAAACATTTCATTGATCATTTCTTAAAATAAATTAGTCAAGCCACCTCTTGTTTTATAGACATAATAGTGTTGTTTAAAATATACGGAGCACAACTTACTTCAGCTATTTTTTATTTTACATAAGTATATAAATAAATTGAATTAAAAATAACTTCAATTATCATCCATTGCTAGTGGAGCTAAAAGAGTCATTTTTAACAATGCTTTAGCTTTGGGTAAATAATGGACTAAACCAACTTGATATTTTAAACTTCCTTTGCTTCTTACTTTATATGAAGTTCTGTGGAGTGAATGCTACAATGCATCATGAGTCTATCAGAAACAATCTCTAATAGTGATAAGATGCATACATCTTGAACCCCTGACCCTAAAGAGGTTGGGATTATTTTGTATTTGTTGCTTTTATTGTTGAATCAAAAAATACCATTGGTCAAACATGGTAAACTGAATCAACAACAACAACATTACCCCACTGCGTCAACGGCTCCCGCCCATTGCGGGGTAAGGGGGGTCGGATGTATGCTCTGACCCCTATGTTTAAAACATAGAGCGGCTGTTTCCAGATGACCCATAATGAGTGTCGAAATTTGCATTGACCAAGTGCTACTTCACAATTGCAAGAAGCACAGACAGTTTAGAGAGACAATTTCCTTTATTCCATTATATCCCAAAGCTAAAAAAAATAGTGAATCTTCGGCTCTACAAATTTGGGATGGAGAAATTCGCATTTGCTTCCAAAGAAATTCCCATTGTCAACATGGTTTGCTACAAGTGGTTGGTTTCTTAACTGATGTTAGGGTGTGTTGATTAAAAGGTTTTTGTTCCATTACATGCCCACCTAGGGTATGAATCTTTCATTTTTTTTTATTCTTTTGAATTATAGGGGCCAGTGGCGTAAAGGGTTTTGAAACTTTCTTCCGTGCATTTTACGGCACTGGTATTTGTATGCTTGTTGTGGTTCACATGCGTTGCTGGTAGAAAAATGGTTTTGAACACTTGGATCATCTTTTTTTGGAAGTGTCGGTGTATTAATTGTAGAGACAATTAATGATGATAGAATATGGTTCTGGCTATAAGAGACATGTTGATCATATTCATTTATTAAGTTGATCTTTGTTTTCATTTACACAATTTTTGGGCTCCTGGAAAAAAGAAGTACAAAAAGGCATATCTTGAAATACCGAATTGTGGGTTTTTTTCCAATCAGGATTACCAGATTTTGGAGAAGTGTACAAGTTCATTGGAAGTATGTTTGATCCAGACACTAAATGTCAAGAGCAGGAGCTCAAGGAGATGGACCCTATCAATCTCGAAACAGTAAGTGTTGGAACTAATGAAGATTGCAATTTTCTCCTTCCAATAACCCCATCCCCCATATGAAATAAGTTGAGTTTGTAATAATATATTTAGCATTAGAAACAAAGTGGGTCTGTGGTTGTGACTTGTGCATGTTGGATACTGAATGAAGTCTTCAGGCCAAAGCTAGGGGCCATGCTTATTATTGATAAAGAGAATAAAGGACAGGCCATTGCACAAAGCTTCCCTGTAAACGCGGGCCAGGGAAGGGTCCCCCACAAGGGTGTAATGTAGGCACACCTTACCCCTCATTTCTGCAAGAGGCTGCTTCCAGGACTCGAACCCGAGACCACACGGTCACTCGGCAACAATTCAACCATTGCGCCAAGGCTCCCCTTCAATGCAATGAAAAGTGAGGAAAGTGGATGGTGTATTGGGCGTTTTGGTTGAGGGGGCAAGGAAGAGGGATTTACCATGTAAGATGTGGGATGAGGAGTTGACGTTGGGGGGCTTCACTATTTTAACTTTTAAACCCTTGGAAGTCGGAATACATAATCTCTAATAGTAGTTCCTAGAGACACCGAATTAAAGTTGTAGGGTCCTTTCAGAGCTTGGAGATTGGAGTTTGTGATTTAGTGTTTTAACTTCTAAGGTTTTTGTACTGCTCAAACTACGTGTCATTGCTTACTGGTGTTCTGACATTTAATTGTAGTTCTGACGTAAGCTAGAATGTTATTCATAGGTACATTTAAATTACAGCTAAAGAGTTTATATTACACTAAAGACTACTAAAGAGAAGATTGATAGCATTCTCAAGATTTAAGAGGCAATGACATTTGTATAGAGATACACGATGGGAATAATGTGTTAGGGCTTGTTCTCTTTCCTTGATTTGATTGGTTCTAATTTGATTGGAATAAGTTTTGATCTAATCTGGTTTGGACTGATTCTAGTTGTATTTAAAATTGTTTCTGATTTGATCTGGTCTGGTTTGATCTGATTCCAATAAGAAGAATAAGTAATGAGAATAAGTTGAAGAGAACAAGCTTTTACTCCGGTTCAAAAAATTTTAAATTACATTCTCTGGTCAGCAATTTTGTTTTTAATGAAAGATTTCTGGCTTTTATGGATATGCAGGTATTATTATTGATGAGGAATCTAAGTATCAACTTGTCTAGCCCCAACTTTGAGCCTATTGTAAGCCCGCCTCTTTCTTGAATATCCTTTATGGTGTGATTTTTTGCTCTTATTTCCCTGCTCTTCTTGATATCTTGTTTATTTTCTCCCTAAATTTCCCCAATATCAACTGCCCAGCCTAGATAACTTATACTCCGGACAAGTTTAAAGAATGAATGGGGATGATACTTGTATTTTTAAGTTCTTCACGTCTTCTTCACAAACTAGCCATAAAGTCCTTGGGGTAGAGGTAAGGTTTGCGTACATCTTCCCCCCCTAGACTCTACTCTGGAGTGGGATATGCTGAGTTGGTTTGGTTTGGTTTGTCAACTAGCCAAAAAGTTGGAAAAGCCCCCCCCCCCTCCCCACCCACAAACACGCATGCATGCATGAGTTCAAAGTTGGAACTACATTTTCTTGACCCTAGAGCATATTATTTCATTTATTCACGCAGAGAAAGATGTTATCATCAAATGATGTCAGTATAAGAAGTTTAAGGGTCAGTGCGAGCAGCGTTGCCAAAAACTTGCACGACATATTATGCTAAATTACATTCATCTTATAATGTGATGCTGCATTTACTCTAGAGAGTGATATACACATTGTGGTAAGTTCTCTCCATTGTTAATTTTGTTTATATAAAGACAAGATAGATGAGGACACTGTGGGTTACAACTTAACTGCGAAATTATAATTAGTAAATTCGCATGGATGTGTAACCCATGTGGAGCATTACTCTTCTTTTTTTTTACTGTCTGCTCTTGAGAGATGGGCAATTGTGAAAGTTCATTTAGGGTCCGTTTAAAACTAGAAAAACGTTGGGAGAAGAAAATAGAAAGGAATGTAGATGAAATTTTGGTAGGAAAGAAAAGTTTCGGAGAGGCAAACATGTTAACTCAACAATTCAAAATTAGATGTCCCTTCGGGGACATTCGATAATTTAATAATAGATACTCCTTGTACGTTAAAACCGTTTTTATTTATTTCAAATTTTCTCTTCCATATTATCAAAGATTAATACTCCGTATATTTTTTTCTTATATACAGAGTGTGTGTGTGTGTAACATGATTACATTTATTTTCCCTTGTATTTTTTTTCAACAGTAATATATATGCTGGAATTCTCTGGCTACATTCCCAAACATTGAAAGCTATAATCTTTGATGGATTCCCGGAATGGGGGACTTGCCAGAGTCTTCATGGGGGTGTTCCGGGGCTGTTGCTCTGCCAGCGAGCGTACCTGGAAATGTGTTCAAATTCTTCAATGGATGATGGGAATGTGTGCCCGCCTTCAATTTTGTGCAGCTCGTATATTCATTTTGTGCGTGTTAGAAAATATGTGTGTAGCTTTGATAGCCCAATCTTGTGCAGTTTCTAAGGATTGTTTATTATGGCATACACACACCTTTTGAGGTATTGGTAATTAATTGGCATCAGCATATATCAATCAGAAGGTGAATATCTTATAGGGTATAAAAGGATTAGAGGATGCTTGAATTATGACTATTTTTTTATTATAAAAAAAAGTATACTTTGAGATATGTTTGATGGGTTGTCGCCTTATTGGACAATGAGTCATTATTATTAGAATGCACCTTCGTTCCCATGACATTGTGATTCAATGTCATGAGATGACTCGAGGTTCATACGATGCTCTGTTCGAAAAATTGATGGCTTTTACTTCTAACCGCCTGGTAAACCCCCCACTCTCGCACCTCCGTCAATTGCATGCCACAAGATTTAGTTAACTTTGGAGTCAAAATTTAATTCCAAAGTCAACTACATCTTGTGGCATGCAATTGACGGGGGTGCAGGGGTATGTTTGGGTCAGGCCGAGGATGGGCGTTTATCGTGGGCTAGAGGAACAGAAACTATCAATTTTTCGAACAAAGCATCGTAGATACCCTAATCTGGGCCCATGTCATGTCACTTGAACCGTCCCCATTAGAATGTTATAATTTTGAGTTGTTTTTTCAAAATGTCTCCGAGGACCCAAGGTGTTCAACCAAATGTTTAGGTGAACTTTAGCAACAGTAAAAGGTACTTTGATTTGTCCCAAGACTGAAGTTGCTTGGGGTTTTTGTTGTTAAGCCAATGAATACATGGCACTTAAGGTGCATTATGAACAAAAGAGAAGATGAAAAAATGGCATCCTCTCATAAACCATTTTCTGAGGTGATTTACAAGGAACTAATTTTGGTCTCTCGGCAGTTGCCTAAACAAATTGCAAGGAATTGAATGGATAAATACTCCATATGAATCACATTTGGATTTCCCTTGTTAACTACTATTACTAAATATTTATATTGTTTAGAATTCATAACCATATTAAAAACAAAAAAAGAGGATTGAAGAGAAATCATGCATCAAAGAAACTGAAAGTGAAGAATTGGGTACTTATAAGATAAAAAAAGATATGTGAAAAAACCTTAAACATGACCATGTTACATTTTGGGATTGGAAAAATACCAACCTCAATGAGGATTTTAAAGATGAACTTGTAAAAATTGATGGCAAAAAATGATAATTTCTAATCAAACCAAACAAAAAATGAAAAGCACAAGATATATCTATGGAGTTCCCAATGATCTACTAGAAACTTGGAATGAAAACAGAATGTCACATTCATCATCTGATGATAAACACAAGGCAATAAGAAATGGAAAACACCATACCAGTTTTGTCTTAATAACTTAATGGAGATTTGGGAAGAAATGCAGAGCCATTCCTTCCCAAACTCCACAACATGTCTCTCCATCACAAAATTGCAAAAAAAGAGTAAAAAAGATTTAAACTCTAAGCAGGGAGTGAAATGTCCGAAAAGCTTGGAATCACTGAGACACACCCAACCACTTCGAGAAGTTGTCAAACTCTGTGTAATCGCTGTCCGAAATCATTGTCTGGTACCATGCCTTCCCTGCTGCCTTAATCTTAGCAGCCTCCTCCTATTCATACAACAATGAGACAATTAATCAAACCCATACCTATATGATTCATGCTTCACAAAATTCTCCAATTCTAATCTTGGGTCAACAATAAAACCCAGTCAATGATAAACATTTCAACATTCATTTTCAGAAAGATTATATACTATGGGTATGTATCAGCAATCAAGATATGTACTCGGTCCTCCAAACCATTAACCCCTAGAAATCTTCATCAAAAGTAATCCTTAATATACAGTTCAGGAGACACCAAGAAATGTTAAATGTTTACGTATACTATCATAAGTGCACAATTTGGAATGGATTCTTCTCAAAACAAGCGTTACAAGTGTTTGACTTAAGCACTTAAGGATCAAATATACTATTGCATTAACAATGTTAAACAGTAAGATAAGTATGAAATGAAATAAAACACTGAAAGTAATATATGCAGCAGTAAGTTAGTGTTGAAATAATCAGCTTACTAATGGTGAAAAAGAATATACCTTTGAGAGTGGAGTTCTTGTCTTGGAGAGCTTCTCAGATTTTTCCTTGGTACGCTGCGCTTCGGCAAGAAGGGCCATCCTCCGGGCAGTCTTAGCATAAGGATTGAGCTTGAGAAGCACGTTCAGGTTCTTCAATGGATTCTTCTTGCGAACAGCTCTCTTCACTCCCTTCTTGGTAGGTCTCACTACAGACTGCACCTCATCAGAATTGATGATCCTAGCAAGATCGGCATTGGCCATCTTTGGCCTTGGCAAGACATAACCCTTCTTCATCAGAGATGGCTTATCGAACGACCCATAGATCTCATCAAGTTTCTCAAATGCAGACCTCGTCCAGATTATAAAGCGCCCAAGATGGCCACCGGGAGCAAGCCTAAGAATGTTCAGACGGCTAACATGACATAAATCCACCCCGGGAATGTTTCGGAAGGCCCTCACCAGCTTAGCACCCTCAGTAGCATAAACAATCAAAGGTCCCTTGCGAGAAATGTAGCGGCGATTTCGCATCTTACCTTTTCCGGCGCGGATGGCCTGGCTATCTATTGCCTTCTCCACATCAGCATACGCACCAATCTCCTTGAGAATCTTAATGGCATTGGATGTCTTCTCAATTCCCTCGGCGGAATCGGAGATCACAAGAGGGATCTCCGGCACAGTCTCAATCCGATGTCCACGAGCAGCTACTAGGGAAGGAACAGCGGATGCAGCTATGGCAGAAGCCGTGGCGAACCTCTTCTGATTCACAGGGATCCTACGGTGCCAGCGGCGCCAGATCTTGGTGGGGGCGAACATTCTCCCACCACGACACATGTTCCCGAACGCACCCTGTCCGGCACGGTGAGTACCGCCACCAGGAACACGGGGGATACGGGACACGGCGCGGCCGGTACCCCATGACTCGGCGGAGGTCTGGTGGCCCGCCTTCGACGACACGGCGTAGGGCTGACGGGAATTTTTGGAAACGTTGGCGTGGACGAAGGTGACCACGTCGGGGCGGATCGGAGCCTTCATCACATTCGCCAAAGAGACTGAGTTGCCGGCGGATCCATCGGTGGCCATGTCATTTTCAAGGGGCTGAACGGAAACGAGAGGACGAGCGGCGGCGGTGGCCATTGCTTAGGAGGAGATGGAGACGTTTAGGGTTTGCTTCTGGGAAATGAAAGCGCAAATAAATAGGGTTTTCGTCTATAGGGTTTTCGTCAATTGGGCCCATGAGGGTTTACGTATTTCGGGCTCGAGCTGACTCCGTAATGAATAATGAGAGGGTCAATTGGGCTTTTATGTATTTCGGGTTTTTCCAACCCACAAATCTCAT